CACACTTTAGTTTCAGTAATTTGCTAGAATGACTCACAGAAAATCAGGAAAACGCTTATTTACTCTCACTGGTGTATTATAAAGATTACAAAGGAGCAACCAGATGAAGAGGTGAGATTCAGAAAGGTCCTGAGCACAGGAGCTTCTGTTCCTGTGGAGTTGGGTGTCCACCCTCCTGGCATATAGATGTGTTCACCAGCCAGAAGCTCTGTGACTCCTATGGTATAGAGATTTATATGGAGGTTCCTTCACATAAGCATGATTGATTATGTCTTTGGCCATTGGTGATAAAGCTCAATTTCTAGTCCCTCTGGAAATTGGGCTGAAAGTCCCAAACCTTTAATCGTATGGTTGGTTCCTCTGGCAATCAGACCCCATCCTGAAGCTATCTAGAGACCCACCAAGAGTCACCTTATTAGGGTAAACTCAGGAATTATTGAAAGGGACTTGTTATGAATAACAAAAGACACTCCTGTCACTCAGGAAGCTAAAAGGGTTTTAGAAACTTAGGGTCAACCAGGGACAAAGACCAAATATATACTTTTTATTATATTACAATGATCTTGGCAATCAAATCAAATGGTAGGTTAATGTGCATTTATCTTCTAAGGTAAATGGATAAGATAATGATGACTTTTAATAGGAAATTGGAAGTTTATTTTAAACTAGAGGCCCAGTGCATGAAATTTGTGCACAGGTAGGGTCCTTAGGCGATCAGAGCCTTAGGCAATTGGGGTCTTCCTTCCCCCGGCTACTGGTTGGGGCCTTCCTTCATTCTGCACCACCCCCAGGGGGGCAGTGCATGTCATAGCAAGCAGTTGAACTCCTGTTGGTTGAACTCCCAAGGCGGCAATTTGCATATTAACCTTTTTATTATAAAGGGTGAGTGCTTCATATGAGGAAATTTTTACACTAGAAACCTAAACTTTAACACAGTGAAAAGTGAAGGGCAGAGGTGTTAATATGCAAAATAAAATGTCTTTTATTGGGGGAGGGGGATCTGGGAACATATTTTCATTTCACAGTAATGAATAAGCTAAGTTGCAGGCTCCTTCTCAGTCCAGTGGTTCAGATAAAAGTTATATCATTGTACAGAAATTATAGGTTGTTAACTGCGATTGGGCATAGAGATTCTAAACTGAGCTAAGAACAAACTTGTGAAGTTTGGAGTTTGCAAAATTTGACTGTCACTGTAACTCATGGCAAAGACATAGCTGGATGCTGCTCAAGTTATTCTGCTGCTCTATTTTTCCTCCTGTTTCTCTTTGCAGCTTCACTTTAATTACATGACAGCTGGGGAAGAGCCGTGAGGAAATCTTACTTGTCACAAGTTTCAGAAATTATTTTAATCTAGTGTTGTACCTTCTAGAAAGAAAAGGTAGACCATTCTGATTTCAGAAATAAGTGTATTATATAGTAGACTCAAAGCACAGGCCATAAAGAGGATGTATTCTAAAACATGATATTCACCCATTTTTGAAACATTTCTTCCCACCATAGGACCCAAAGGAACGATTGGGTTGTCATCCTCAAACAGGATTTGCTGATATTCAGGGACACCCATTCTTCCGAAATGTTGACTGGGATATGGTATGTAAATTGTGATTGTTTTCTGTATTAGGTTTCATCATTATCTTGGGCCAAATTTTATTACCTTGAAAGAATGTTGAAAATCTAGTATGTCATAGCTTAAATTAACTTAAAAGCACTCTCTAACGTGGAACAGATTGTAATATTGAGACCTGCATCACTGCTCAGATTTGTAAACTACTTCCATCACTGTGAATAGTGTTGTAGAACTTTACCTAGGGACTCGCTTTAATAAGACTGGGAAATCTCTGAGGGCAGAGGAGAAATGTAGAGGGGGATTTTTCCAAGAACACAGGCTTGAACTGTCATCCAATCTGTCTTTCTAGATGGAGCAAAAGCAGGTGGTACCTCCCTTTAAACCAAATATTTCTGGGGAATTTGGTTTGGACAACTTTGATTCTCAGTTTACTAATGAACCTGTCCAGCTCACTCCAGATGATGAGTAAGTAATTCCATAGACTGAAATATTGTCAGAGTTCTTTGACATTCCCACTTTTAATGGCTATACAGTGTTTCATGATCAGATTATACTGTAATTTATCTAACCACTGAGTTATTGGGTATCTGAATCTATTATATCATTATAAATATGACAATATGGCCATTTTTTACTTTGACTTACATGCATTATCTCTAATTCTCACAACCTTGTAAACCTAGTTATTGTCATCTTCGTTTTACAGATGAGGAAACTGAGGCTCAGAGAGGTTAAGCACAAGTTACACAGATGTGAGGGGGCAGAGCCAGGATTCAGACCCAATAATGAGTGGCGAAGGCCTGTGCTGTTTCTATTCGATGATGACCATCTGCGAGTTCCTGAGTATTACCTTAAGATAGATTCCTAGAAAGGGAATTAGGTCAAGGGGTATGAAATTTTAAAGCTCTTGATGTGTTTTGCCAAATTGCTTTTTTAAAAAATTACATCAACTTATCACGTCCAGCCAGCAGTGATCTCACATATTTTTGTGTGTTCGTGTTACATATTGTAAAAATAGGCTTTAGAATAATTTGGGGATGTTTTGATCCTTTACCTGTGGTTACAGATTCATTCTCTCGTCTCAAGGAGACTCTTACAGCTCGGCAGACATTTATTTCTTGTTAATCCTTATCACATTCCTCATGGCAGCTGTTTCAAACTACATTTTACCCCTACCTCCATCACTTAATGGTTTACCCTGCCTTAATCTGACAGCAAGAATCAAGACCTCCCTATTGTGAGCTTGCTCCCTTTTCAGCTGTCATTCGGGTGCCTTGATCTCAGAATTGCTCTCTAACTCTTCTCAACCTTTTTCTCCTTCCCCGTTCTTGGAAAGCTAACTGTCCTTTGCAAGGGATGCTCTCCTGTTTTCCTAGACTTGTTCCCTTATTTTCCTCCAGGATCTTGTTTTATCAGTGGCCTCCATTATCCCACCTTCTTTCATTTCTTTTTTTTTTTTTTTCCAGCTTCTTTCCCTCTGCCTGTAAACATGCTCAGATAGCCTAATTTTTTTCTTCGGAATCTTAGCACTTTTTGAACCACCACATTCTTTTCTTCTTTTCATCTGCAAGCTTTTTCAAAGATAGTTAATAGATGCACAGGAAAAATAAGCAGTATCTCTATCAAATGTCTTCATAATAGTGAACATTGATTGCACTTTCTTACTGGCAACACTTTAACACAGTTTAACCTGTGGCCTTCAGCTTTTGAAGGTTGAATCAACTTCTTACTTTCTAAACTGTTTTGATCAGTTCCAATGTCCCCTGATGTCTATAAAGCATTTGGCACTCATGGCCTTGCTTTGTTTGGAACTACCCATCCTTCTGCTTCACCTCTGTGACCACTTTTCATCTTTTCTTCCCTTGTCCTCACCTTGTGACTAGGATCCTTCATGGTTCTGTCCATGCCAGCCTTCTCTTTGCTGTATGCAGTTTGCATTTTGGGGATGTCAACCAGCCCCATAGCATGGATACCGGCTATTAAAAAGGACTCCCAGCTAACTTGGCCAACAATTATTGAACAAAAGCACTATTCTAAGTACTAGACATTCAAAGATGATCAAAATTTAGACTGATTTTGCAAAAAACTTACTGTCTATTAAAGGAAATAGATAGGTATCAAAGTCATTATTTCAGACAGCATCTTGTTTTAGAAAGAGCACTGGGTTTAATAAAAAAGTAGGAATTTGAATTCAGACACCAACTCTTACCAGCTGGGTAACCTGGGTGTGAATTGCATAGCTTCTTTGAGCCTGTTTCTTGTATTGCCTACCCCACAAGATTGCTGTGAAGAATAAGTGAATGATGGTTTCTAAACCTAGCCACTGCCCTGGTATCTATCCTGAGATGCATTTCCATTCACTTGTTTAACACCTCCCTAGTGTCAGACAAGCACCTCAAACATATGAAGTCTGAAATCAAAGTAATGACTTTTTATGGTCTCTTTTTCTGTTCTCAGTGATTCCTTGTTTTTATTTACCTTTTTCTGCTCATTGCAGCAGTGTGCATTCCTGCATTCGGATTCAGATTATCAGGGTCATTGATTTCTCCTTTTCATTAAAAACTTACATAATACCTTCATCTGCCAAGACCATGTCTGTTTCTCCTTTACTTCTTCATTTGCATCATATCTTTCTTTTCCATTTGCATTGCCATAAACCCAATTCAAACCTCTTTCAAATCATACCTAGAATATTATGCCACCCTCCTAACTGGACTCCTTTACTTTGCATCCCATTCTGTACATCTCAAGAAGTGCCACTCCAGAAACGTTTAACAGCTCCCGCATTACCTAGCAAGTAACATCCATCCTCTTGGCTAGCGTTCCAGGCCTCCCACCGTCTGCTCCAGCCTTTCTAGCCATATCTCTTGCTATACTTGAACACAGACACTGTGTTCTGATTAGTCTCTGACTCACCATTCCCTGATAGCATGCTGCTGACCTTTACTCCTGCCATTTCCTCTGTGTTCTTCCTTCATTTTTATCTGTTGAAATCTTCGCCATCTTTCAGAGCTTTCTCATATGCACCTCAGTCTTGGATGGGTCAAGGTGAAGCTCCACAGTGTAAACATCACTAGGTTCTCTGAGCCAGCCATTACTTTCCTCCCAGAATCGTCTGCCATATTAATAGCCTTCTTCTGTTCCTGTGCTCCCAGACCTAGCATAATCTTTCATAATTCCATCCAGTGTTTGTTCAATGAATGCTTTTTCTTTTTCTCTAACTAGAAGTCACCCTTTTATTTTGTTTTGCTTTTTTGATTTAAAATTTTTTTTAAATTACAGTTTACATTCAGTATCATTTGTATCAGTTTCAGGTGTACAGCAAAGGCTATACAACTGGCACCATACATAGTTATCACAGTATTATTGACCATATTTCCCTGCTTACTCCTCATCCCCATGACTGTTCTGTAACTGCCAACCTGTACTTCTCAAAAAATGTGAACGTTTCACGAATTTGCATGTCATCCTTACACAGAGGCCATGCTCATCTTCTCTGGACCCTCCCGATTTTAGTATATGTGCTGCCAAAGCAATACCACACTTTTCTTTAGAAACATGTTTATAACAGGACTTAGCTTGTCCTATATGAACTTAGCAGGTACTTCTTTCTCTTGTAGCTTTCTGTTCTAAAAGGTACCTTCCCTCCTTGAAGCATAGGAACTAATATATCCTGTGTAACTTAGTGCTTTGCAGTATGATGTGTACATTGAAGTATGAAAATATTCGATAGTACTACTCACTCCTCTTATATTAACTAGTAGCCCAGTGTAACTGAATGTCAACCTCTCCCTTCCCTGTGATCCACTGCCTGTCTGTGGCATTCTCCCTTTATTCCAGGTCTGTCAGTGTGCTTGTCCCATTTCCCTTTCCTTCTGGTTAACACCTTCCGGGCCTTCTCTGCACCATGTATTCCATCTGGCTAGTGAGGTGACTACTAAATTGAATGCCTAATTCAGACCCGGATGTTTACCTATAACTATGAATGTTGTTTAGTTAAGATTAACTAGAATAGTGATAACTTTCTAGTTAATAGTGAGATTTTTAAATCTCAGGCTTCAGTTTGGACTACCTTTGATTCTAAAGTTGCTTGTAAGTCTTTTAGCCTTTTTTTTTTTTTTTTTTCTAAGACTCTTGATTCTTCTAGAAAATATTTTGGGATTAATCTAAAAACTTGTAAAACTTCTTCCCATAATTAACATAAATTAGCTTTATTTTTTGTTTCTTAATCTTATTTTACCATTTAAATAAGTTGAAGAAATATTGATTGAGGAAATTAATTTATTTTTGTCCCAACAGTGATATTGTGAGGAAGATTGATCAGTCTGAATTTGAAGGCTTTGAGTACATCAATCCTCTTTTGATGTCTGCAGAAGAATGCGTCTGATCCTCGTTTCTCAACTGTGCATTTTACTTGTGTTGCCATTTAATGCATGGAAAACTCATTACCAGCCTGTATATAATGAACCATTTGATATTTGCCAACTACAAAAAAGCGCTCAATATCTTGTATATGTTGACTATAAGAGTCAATTATTACATATAAATTTAACTGTAAAAAGAAAAAAAAGATACTAGATTCCAGACAATCGTGTCAAAATTCAGTTATACTGGTAGTCTAGCAGCCTACTGATGAGTAACAGCGTTGTCTTTTCCTTTGAAGAAACTACTTACCACAGCTTTTAAAGAGTACCTGTTGCATTAAGGCACATGGTGGTATTACATCATAAGCCTCCCTGTGATTTTTGTCATACGTCCTTTATTTAATTTTGGAATAAAAATATTAATTCAAAATATAGCAACTTGTTATATTACCTGTTACTTTATGAATTCTTTGTGTTTAAAAATTCAGCTGTGAATTTTATCATTGCATGGGATAATTACTGATTTTTAAGGCAACAGTTATTAAATTGACTGGTAATAAAAGATGTCACTTGCTTAGGATTGGGTAATACAGATTCTTCTTGAGGAAAAAGGCACATTTTATTAAGAATCAGATTCCAAATCATTAGCTGTTTTTGAGTTCTTTAATATTTTAAGGGGTTAGTTTCTGAGCTAGTCCCGTTAGTCAGAACTTTAACTGGAATGTTAAGAAATGTAGTTCAAAGGATCCACGATGTAGCTGAATGGGAAAGTTCTCAGTATATATAGGAAGAAAAAATAAGAAATTTAAAGGACATATAAAAAAGTGCAATGGTAATATTTATTTCCTACAAGAGAGTAAATCTCACAGTTGCTTTTGTGATTTGATTAAATAAGGAGGCACTTATTACAAAACTTGTAAAAGCATTCCATTTATCCAATGGAGACGGATGTATACTATTTTCCCTTATAATTTAGTATACAAGAAAAGAATTTACCTTCCAAACAGTGTATTAAACATGCTTATTTCCTACTCCAAAACACATTATCCATACTTCTGGACCCTGTGCATGGAGTCTGCAGTGAAATCCATGAAAATAATAAACATGAATAGGTGTTCAGGACCCACACATACACTCACACCACAGTCCCAGCCCCGCAAGCGAGTTTTTGTTAAGTAGGTAACACATGTAATACAGAATTCAATACATTTCAGAGGCAGAGTTCTTCAGGTTATGTTTTATTAATATTAACGTTTAGGAATGTATTATGTAAAGGGATGTCAAAGATAGCATCCTTCTGTTATTTTAATATTTTTTTTTTTTATGAAAAGGGACCTTAAAGTAACCATAATCATCTAAATTACTTATAATTCCCCAATCTTAGTAAAATTTAATTTTGGGGAAAGCTGTTGAGTCTTCAGCTTAGAATTATTTAAAACTTGTAGGCATTTAATATCTTCTTTTTTTGGATGTTACACATTTCATTAGAAATATAATTTTACCAAAGTTTCTGACCGTGTACTCTTTTTACTTTAAGATTTTTAAAAATTATTATTCTACAGTGTTTCTCTCTCTCATACACAAATATCGACGTGAGAGAGAAACACTGATTGGTTGCTTTCCTTCATGTGACTGGGGATCAAACACGCAACCTGGGTATGTGCCCTGCCGGGAATTGAGCCCACCACCTTTTGGTGCACAGGACAGTGCTCCAACCAACTGAGCCGTACCGGCCGGGGCCTGCCTGGCCATGTCGTCTTTTCTTTAAATAATTATCTTTGAACGCAATGAAAACCTCAAAGGAAAAATGTTTATATCCACATGTTTATTTAAGAGGTATACACGTTTCTCTTAATACCTGAAACTTGTTTTTTTTTTTTTTTAAGTAAAAAGCAGTATTCACTTCAAATCATAAACTTACCGAAAATTCTGACATCTTATGATATATGTTTATGATATTGTTTTTAAGTGGTGCTGTTTCCCCTAGGGCATTAGTTCCAAAATTTTAGAATATGGAATAAGTTTGTTTAAAAACACAATACTGGACCTACCTTAGAATTCTGATGGGTCTTTGGAACCATATTTTGAGGAAACTTGAGTCATTCTTCTATTTTTGCCCTGTGTTAAATATTAGAAAGAGGACTTGTGGTAAAACATTTTGAGTAGGGATAGGCAGTGAGTTTCTGTTTTACCTACTATTTTAAATACATTTTGAATGAATGACTTCCTCAAGTTAGATATCATCTCAAAAAAAACCCCATCAGTTTTCTCTCAATGATGCAAACGATAAGCATTTTTTTGTGATGAGGTTTTAACCATTATTCAGGGCGATCTTTAGTTTTTAATCTTTTTTTAAAATCTAAGATTTACTGTGTATATTTTATACAGAATTGCATTACAAATATGTTTCTAATTGTGTTCCTATTTTGTAGTCTTTAAGTGCCATGTCAATTTTTTTATATTATATAAAGTTCTCTGAAAATACTCGCCAGGGGAAAAAGGCATTTGACAGAATGGTTGGAATTTTGGTGTTCTAAGAAAAATTTTATTTTGTATAAGCATGTGGTCAGAGCATTTTATGTGTATGCAGCCTGAATCGGCTATCAGGTATTTTGCTTTCTACATTAACTTTTAAAATTTTGTTTTGCTTTTGCCATGTAGAATACTGCCTTGGTCATCATAATGTAGTCTGTATTTGTGTACCTTCTTTTTTTTTTTACTTTAAAATTTTAAATAAAACGTTTAATACCCATCAAGATTGGAAAATTTTTAATTACGTAACATATCAGAAACTTGTTTCAGATATATCAAAATTTGTTCTAAAAGGAAAATGAGAATTTTAGGGTTTGGGATTTTGCTGTACTTCCAAAAGCATTCTGGTAGTGTTAGTGCCATATTGAAATCATTCACTTATAAAATAGTCAGTATATTTTTAAACTTGCCGCCCTACCATATGTATCTCTTTTGTTGAAAACAAATTAGTAAAAACAGATTCAGCTGAACATAGAGCATTTTAACTAGTTTCAAAACTGAAGGAAACTTGAACAGAACAGATTATTCCCAAATTATGTTTTATAGTGACTAATTGTAAAGTTCTAGAACTTCTTTCAATTGACCCCATGGGTGGGAGTTCAACTGACTGGGAGTTAGACATACGTTGGCCACCAGGGGGCGGCACGGGACATGGTGTGGCAGCAGAAGGCAGTGGACGCCCTGCCAGCCCCGATGGGCACCAATGAGAGCAGGACCGCAGCAGAATGGTGGAGCAGGTGGCGCCAGGCCAAGGTGGGTACAAGTGGGGCCACAATCGGCCCTGATCGCCTGCCAGGCCTAGGGACCCACCCGTGCACAAATTTTGTGCACTGGGCCTCTAGTATGTAAGTAAGTGTGAGCCTTATCCCATATTTACCACTTTATTGTAGCAATTTGTGCCTTTCCCTTCACAAAAATAATAAAATCTTAAGTGCCTTTATTATTTTTTTCTTATTTGACTTGTCAGAAAGCTAGGACCTGTGTAATAAAACCACCAAAGACTGATTTCATGAGTGTTATTTTATCTTTTTAAAAAAAATATTGGTGAGAGTATTATAGATGTTCCCCATTTTGGTCCCCCATTGCTCCTCTTCCTGGATCCCAGCACACCCCAGTGTTATTTTATCTTAAGTTCAACTCTTTCTCAAAATGGAGTTAAAGGAAGTATTATTAAAGTACTATCTAGACCACATGTGTCAAACACAAGGCCCGCGGGCCAAATCCGTCCCGCCAGGCCTTGCAATGTGGCCCGCACCGCGCTGTCATCACTGCACTCCGCTGCGTTTCCATCACAATGACAGTTTATGACTGTTCAGTAAACCATTCGGCCCGCGATTTAGGCTGGATTTTAGATTTTGGCCCCTTCTCTGATTGAGTTCGACACCCCTAATCTAGACTATCCCCTATACTAGGGGTCGGCAACCTTTAAGACATAAAGAGCCACTTGGACCTGTTTTCGAAGGAAAAAAAAAACACCTGGGAGCCGCAAAACCATTGCGACATTTAAAACAAATATAACACTGCATATATTGTTTCTTAACTTAATGCTATATACCGGATCGTGCAGTTAGCTGTCAATCTGAAGAAAAAAAGGATTTTTTCACTTAACAAAAAGAGCCGCAGGTTTCCGACACCTGCCC